TTCTTCCTGGGTGTCTTGTATTTCCTGTTGCGCTTCCCACACTACTCTGCCAGGCTCTGGAACAACCCAGACCCCGAGTCCCGAAGTGACGGGGTGGGTCTGGGCTGGAGTCTGAACGTCTGTGCTCCTAAAAGCCCCCGAGAAGGATCCGCCAGGATCCGTCCATCTGCATCCACAGCGCAGCCCGGATGAGAAACACTGGCCGAGAGGGGGCGCTTGTGTTCGCTGGGGTTTTCTGTTTCTTTCCTGCACCTGACAGAGACCCTGTGAGGTAGCAGCGCCTCGATTTCCATTTAACCAAAAGGTGCCTGGGTGCTGAACGGGCCCTGCCATGAGCCCTGACGTGTCCTCTCCCCCGGGACACACCCTCTGGTTTCCTGCCCAGCCTCGGTCATCCCAGTTCCTGAAACCCCGGCCCCACTCACCTGGGACGATGAGGAGGAGCAGGGGTGGGAGCAGCCACATGGTCCTGCCTGCCGGGCTCTCTCCCTGGTCACCGTCCAATGCCAGTGCCCTCCGGGAACTTGCGCGGAGCCCAGGCGCACACTGCCCTCGATTTGTCTAAGACATAATATTTTGTTCTCTCATCAACTTCCCTTAAAGTTTTGTCTTCCGTTACTTCCTCATTTCATTATGTAGGAGACAGGCAGTGTTGTCATTTATGAGTATATGGCTGCTGTGTCTCCAATAATTTGGGGAAAGCGAAGCGTCCAGGCCTGGCCAGGGTTCCACTCTCGAGCCTGTGTGTGTGAGGAGCTGAGAAGGTGGCTGCCGGCAGGGCGAGCAGCGGGGGCGCCCCTGGGAAGAGCTCAGCACTTGGGGGGTGTGGCGGCGAGGGAGTGACCAACTAGCACTGGGTTTGCCCTTTGGAGAGGGTGCCGCACTCAAGGTCTTGAGGACATTATGAGGAAGGAGTGCTCTTTGGCTTCAGCCTCATTTTGTCCTGGATGCTTTCTGCCACATCTTTGCATGTTTCACTGGCTGTGGGCCCTAGAAGGGTGAAGGGGCCCAGGACTGCCTCAAGTCAAGGGCAGCTGGGGTTCAGCTTTGGACAAGTTATTAAGTTTCTATGATGGGGTAGTTCCTTCTCAGGATCATTCTCGAGATCCCATGAGACAAGGAACGTGCTGCACTTGGCAGCTACCACAGGCCTCCCGGGTTCCAGGTGTGGTGGGGACGCTATGAGTGTGTCCCCTCCCGGCCATGAGTGCCCTGTGAGCTGGTGCTGGCTGTCCGAGGGTCGGCAAAGCAGAGCCCAACAGATACACTTGTTCACACCCAGATGCTCCCAGGGGTGTCTATTCCAGAAGGTCTCAGGAAGAGACCGTCTCTAAGCCCAGATGCACCCATGGCTCATGATGGGATGTCAGGCGCCCAGAAGGCAAGTGTTTGGCTGTGGAAGCCTTTCCAGACCTCGGGAGTGACCCACAGCCCCAAACTGTGCTGGGCCTCCTTCCCCCTGAGACCAGATATGGAACAAGGGGTGGGACAGCGGCTATGAGCCCGGGCCCCAACCTCCAGGAAGAGCAGGGACACCAGGGCACCAGAGGGCCAGGGAAGCCTTGGCAGGAATGGAATTTACTTGTCCTCTGTAATTAAATATTTGGCATAACTGGTGCTTAAGCTGAAATTACTATTCTTAATCAATGCAGCAGTGTTTAATGGAATCTCAGTAATTCCATCTTCAGGTCTGGCTGGGTAGCTCAGTTGGTTAGAGCACTGTCCTGATATGCCAAGGTTTCAGGTTTGATCCTTGGTCAGGGCTTATATAAGAATCAAATACTTTAAACAATAAAAAAAAATAAAATAAAAGAATGAACCAATGAATGTATAAATAAGTGGAACAACAAATTGATGTTTTTCTTCCTCTCTCTCTCTCTCTCTCTCTCTCTCTCTCTCTCTCTCTCTCTCTGAAAGTCAATCAATAAATTAAAAAATAATAACACCATTTTCAGTTTGGTTTCTGGTGATATCATTGGCTTTGGGGACCCCATACTCCACAGAAACTAGATCAAAGTCAAGACCTATTACCATCATCATGAAATACAGTAAAATATCCTTAGAAGAAGAAAGAAAAGATCAAACTTTCTCCACAGAAAAGTGAAAAATGTGGGGTGTCAATTTCTTCAAACATAGCACAGCACCTATCACAAACATATGAGGTAGCATGAAAAGGTCACCTGATGGCAGACTTACTTTCTTGCTCACAAGTCAAAGGGGGTTTCCCAGGCTGGTAACACTTAATTTAAGACATTAAGGAGCCCTAAAATACATTTCAAATCATAGGTTAT